TTAGACCCCCAAACCCCCAAACACCACCCCCCCTCTCCATACCGGAGGCTGAAGCGGCACCAACCCAAGGGCAGGGGGGGCTCTCGGGGGTCGCGGGGGTCACCCCCCCCGCCCCCACCCCGCTCACAGCCCTCGCAGAAGCAGCGGCTGCGCCGGGGCTCGGGGGCAAAATACTCATCTGGGCAGAGAAAGTGGGGTGAGAGGGACCCCAAAACCACCCCCAGACACCAAAAACCTTCAGGGTGACCCAAGAAACCACCAGGAACCCCAAAAAAGCTCCCCAGAAAAATCCCAGGGATCCCCAAACCCCTCTGGGACACCAAAAACCCTCAGGGAGCCCAGAAACACCCCTCAGGGACCCCCCAAAAAACCAGGAGAGCCCCAGAAACTCAGGAGACCCAAAAAAAACCCCAGGGGGGCCCCAAATCCCACCCAAGACCTGCAAAAAACCAAGGGGACCCCAAAACCCCCCATGGATCTCAAAACTCCCAGGGATCTCAAAACCCTTAGGAAGCCCAAAACCCCCAGTGACCCCAAAAAAGCCCCCAGGGACCCCCAAAATCCCCTCCCAGAAGGATCCCAGACACCCAGAGGTTCCCCTCCCACCCCGGGGACCCCTCACGCCCCTTCCCCGAGGGACCCTCTCCCTCCTCAAGCCCCCCCAAACCCTCCCCAGGACCCCAAACCCCCCAGGGACCCCTAAATCTCACCGGGCAGCAGCAGCAGGTCCTTGAATCGGGCACAGAGAGCCTGGTAGGGGCAGGGCTGTGGGGGTGCGGGGGGAGCCCAGCACAGGCTCTCCTTCACCCCTGGGGGGACACAGGGGGGGTCAGAAGTCTCTGAGATCCCCTCCTCAAAAAAATTTGGGGGCTCCCTGATTACCAAACCACAAATTTGGGTGTCTCTGTCTCCACCAGCCCCCAAATCTGGGGGTCTCTGAGCCCCCCCAGGCCTCTCCTTCACTCCCCTAAAGGGGGTCAGACGTCACTGAGAACCACCCCCAAAAAATTTGGGGGTCTCTGATTCACCCCTACCCCAAATTTGTGAGTCTCTGACACCCCCAGCCCCAATTTTGGGTTTCCTGATCCCCTCATTCCCCAAATTTGGGGCTCCCTGATACCCCCTTTCTAAAATTTGGGGGTCTCTGATCCCCCATACCCCAAATTTGGGGGTTTCTAACCCTTCCACCCTCAAATTTGGGGCTCCCAGCCCTACACCACCCCCCCAAATTCAGGGGTCTCACCCTCCCCTACCCCCACATTTGCGGGTCTCTGGCACACCCACCATCCCAATTTGGAGTTGTCCCCCCTAAGTTGATCTGACACTCCCTCCCCCTCCAATCTGGGGGTCTCTGACCCCTCCCCACCCCCAAATTTTGGGGTTTCTGATCCTCACACACCCCTTAATTCAGGGGTCCTGCCCCTCCCCCACTTACCATCCACCACATCCGCCTTCTCCATGTCTCCCCGAGTCCGGGGGTCCCCGCTGGGCCCTCCCCCGTCCCCCCCCTCTGACACAATCGTCACCTGGGGGGGAAACAAACAAATTTTGGGGGGCCTAGGTGGGGCCTTGGGCCCTTCTGGGGGGATCTGCACCCCTTGAGAGGGTCCTGAGGCCCTTATTGGGGGGTCTCCCCAATGTGGGGGTGCCTTGGTGCCCCCCCCTCACCTGCTGGCACTGCCCGTAGAGGTCGAGTAGGACGTAACAGGGGGTGGGGACCCCCCCAGCCACCACCCCCTGGTCGCGGCCGTTGACGTAGAGGTGGAGCCGCCCCCCCAAATCCACCAACAGCCCCAGGCGGGTCCCAGCAGGGAGGGCCTCCAGGTTGGGCCCCGAGTGCTCCCGGATCTGGGGGGGGGGAATATGAAGGGGAGTCACACTGAGGGACCCCTGGGGAGAACCCCAGGAGAGGGGGAGAAGGAGATGAGGAAAGAAAGGGGGGTGGGGGGAATGGGAGGGGATGGGGAGGGGTTTGGGGGTCCCGGGGGGTTTCGGGGGGGTCCCTCCTCTGCAGGATCCAGGAGGGGATGGGGGGTCTGGGGGGGTTTGGGGGGCTCAGGGATCTCCAGAGAGGGTTTGGGAGTCCCGAGGGGGGTTCAGGGTGTGGTTTTGGGGGTCCCCCTGACCTTCCTGGCATTGTGGAAGACCCCCCTCCTCTGCAGAATCCAGGCGGGGCGTTTGAGGCCGTGGGCACAGGCAGGGAGGGGGGAGCGCCCCGGGGGGGCCCCCGTGACCCCCAGAGCCAGCGAGGAGCTCCACTGCGGGTTCAGGGCGTCGATCTGCACCTGAGGGACATGTAGTGATGTCACAGCGATGTCATCGGCACCACGGTGACATCAACACCTATGATGACACCCTCAGTGATGTCATCACACAGAAACACCTCCCCCCAAATCACTCTCTCTCCCAAATCAGCTCCACTGGGAGCTCAGGGTGTCAATCTGCACCCGAGGGACATCACAGTGACATCATTGCCACCCATGATGATGTCATCAACACCTGCAGTGATGTCATCACACAAAAACATCCTCTAATCACAACTCCCCCCGAAATCAGCTCCACTGGGGGCCCAGGGGGTCGATCTGCAGCTGGTTGACGTCATAACCCCTGCAATGACGTCAGAGTAACGTCATCATCGGCACCCATGTCAAGGACATACAAGGTGACGTCATCACATAGAGACCTCCCAATCACCCTGCCCATCATGAGCTCCACTGGGGGCCTGCACCCCATGACATCATCAAAGCGCTGGGCTGCCACTGGTTGTCCACATACGACATCACCACCAACCTGTATGACATCAGCACGTTCCCCTATGATGTCACCGTGTTCCTCTACAACATCATCAAGTCCCCAAGTCCCCAGTGACTGCTCCTGTATGACCTCACCAGCACCCTCCCCTTCTCACTATGACATCATCACGTCCCTGTGCCGCTATTGGCTGGTCCTGAGAGACGCCACCACATTCCCCTATGACATCACCGTGTTCCCTATGAGCTCACCATGCTCCATTATGACACCACCATGTTCCCTACGACATCACCCCATTTCCTATGACATCAATTTGTTCTCCCATGACATCTCTGTGCCCTTATGACATCACCACATTCCCCATGACATCATCTCATTTGCTATGGCATCACCATGTTCTGTATGACATCATCCCATCCCCTATAATGTCACCCTGTTCCCCTGTGATGTCACGGAGTGTGGGGGTGGGGGATTACCTGGAAGAGGCGGCCGGGAGGGAGGGGCTGCCCCACGACCACCAGCCCCTGGTTGTAGCTGGAGACCCTGGAGGCCGTTCGGTTGCCATTGGACAGCAGGATGTTCTTCCCGTGGCACCCCAGGAACGTGGGGGGGCCCTGGGGGTCACACGGGGGGGGTCACAGGGGGAGAAGGGCAGCAGGATGTTCTTCCCATGGC